CCTAACGCGATACGAAGACAACGATACTGGATCCGTTCCAGCTTGATGATGTGCGTTTTAGCTGCTGACTGGAAACAAAAACTACCATATTCTAGAACCGATAAAATCGTTGTCCGGTACAACGTCAGAAGATCTTGTGGATGGGCTCCCCACCACGTCCTGGTAATTGATCTAAGGAAATTGATCCTTAGTTGGCATTTTCGTCTCAGATACTCAATGTGGGATCTCCAGCAGCACTTGGAATCGAACCAGACCCCAAGATGTTTAAAACAATTCATTTGAGTGATCGGTTTACCCAAAATTTGAAGCTTTGGTCGTGCTGGACTACGCTTCCTAGAAAAAACGACTTACTCAGTTTTCTTCGTAGATAATTCGATACCTAGCTGAATAGCCCAAGTAGACAAATTGTCCAAGGTATCCTGTAAGTGTCCTTGCAGGTCAACCTCTTTTGGCCCTGTGATAGACACTACGCCGTCATCTGCAAGTTGTCTCAACGTGCAATTTTCACTAAGACAGTCATCAATTTCTCTAGCGTAGAAATTGTACAAAAGGGGGCTTAAACATAATCCTTGGGGGAGACCCATGTAGCTAAATCGAAAAGCTGTAGAGTTTCCATGAGGAAAGGTCATATGTTTTTCTGACAGCAAATTGTACAAAAAAATTTTCATTAATGGAGACAATCCACAAGCGTGGAGTTTCTCTGAAAGAACTTCAACGGATACTGAATCAAAAGCCCCCTTGATATCCAAGAACACAGAAGCCATTTGCTCTTTCTTAGCAAAAGCCAACTGAATTTCCGAGGAAAGCAACGCGAGACAGTCGTTCGTTCCCTTACCCCTACGGAAACCAAATTGAGTATCTTAAAGAAGGTGGTTCGTTTCAACCCAATTGTCGAGGTGAAAAAGAATCATTTTCTCCATCAATTTCCGAATGCACAATAGCATCGCGAAGGGCCGATACGAATTGTGATCCGACGCGGGTTTATCAGGCTTTTTAATGGCTATCAGCCTCACTCGTCTCCAATCGTCGGGAACAATATTGAGCTCCAAAAACTGATTGAACAAGTTCAACATGCGCCTCTTAGTGACGTCTGGGAGGGTTTTCAGCAAGTTGAACTTGTTTCTATAAGATCCCGGGGCAGAATTGCCACACGAAAGGAGTGAAAGCGAGAGAGAGCGAGTGAAAGTTCGACCATTGAAAAAGGCTGGCTGATTTCGTCTACCGAATTCGCGGTTTCGCGAGGAATCCCTCCCGTAGGCCATTTTTAAGCACCTTGCCGAAGGTAGAAGAGTTTAATCTCATGCTGAAGTGAATCTTAATCTCATGCTGCGAAGTGATGGTATCAAAAAAAATTTTTCATCAATTTCTTAGCCACGTCGTAGTACGTTTATATAAAGGCACTGACATCAGGTGTGATACCAGCGGGTTTTGCCGCAATTCACTCTTAAATTGGACAATACTAGTTAGGTTAAATAATGCACATTCTATCTCTATTCTCAACATTGTGCTTTCATTGTTTTTCATTCAATAATTATCATTGAATGAATAACCAAAAATACCTATATTGCAGTTGCTATCAAAAAAATTTATGTATTGCTTAATTTCCGAAAACGGTAAATACTTTCATTATGGCTATGTGTCCTGTTATGTGTGCGGTTGTGGCATTTGGGAATACCATTTACATAGCAGGGTGCGTTGGGATGGAGTCAGGTGGCCGTAATGGAAGTTCTGACACTAACCAAAATATACTTTAGATAGGAGACTAATCTCGGAATGAAGTATTTTATCACAGAAAAGTGTTACTTAAGACGGTGTAGAAAGGTAGCATAATAAGGAGATAGATAGAGAGAGAGAAATTTTAATTTCAGGCTGATTTCTCGGGAGGAATAAGATGCGGGGGGACCGCATAGAATGGCAACTTGGCCTTAAATATGTAGAATAAATGCCACAATTTAGTTTATTTGTAGTTATAGGCAATAGTGGAAGTTGTTGAGGGTTGCTGCCACTCACTTGCTGTAAAGGAGTGTTTTGTGGGATAGAGGAGGAGGTTGTATGGCATCTGTTTGGCACATGGAGCCTGTCGGTTTCGCTTTCGGGGCGTCACGGTCGGCGATTTTATGATTCTTGAGCGTTCACTCTGAGTGAGCCCTCACGAGTCGTAGAATCGCTGATTGTGACTGTTTGCGGGCGGGTTTGACGGGTTTTGTGTGTGGAGCGCTTGTCTTTCAGCCTCTTCTTGTGTCTAATACGTAAAGAGTACCTTTGTGACATCTAGTGATTTCATAGTTGCGAAGATCATTTTTTTTTCCTTGGATTTGTTTTACGTCGATCTTGTTTTCCGTGCTGAGCACCAATGCTACCGACGCCGCCAGGGAGGCAGCTCCCACACCTGGGCCCTTTCCTTATCGACCCATCAACTCATGAACCGGGGAGCAACGGCTTTACTCCGAAGGAAGGCGTGATCAGAGATGTTATGCCTCAGAACATTCCGGCGGCGCCGACTGGGATTGAACCCAGGCCTGCTGGGGTGAGAGGTAATCACGCTTACCACTACACCACTGGCGCCGCTAAAGATCATTGTTTAATAGGGAGTGAGTAAAAGCAATGTTGAGTGCACTGATATGTCGAAAATAGGACGCGGAAGGTCCGCTTAGGAACATATAAGCATGCATATGTAGAACTTTAGGGTAACGCGGTATTAGGTAGAAAGTTTCTTAATATATTAATATAACTTTTTTTTTTGTTGTTTTTCAACGGTATATTTCAGGGTCTAAAGGGTGTCCACGATGAAATTGCCACACTATGAAATTGCTCTAACTTTTTAACCGTTGGGTAGAATTTAATGAAAATTTTGGTGGATTTAGTTCATAGTGCATTATTTACATCCTGCAAGTTTTAAAGTCCTGTGATCAAAACTCGCGGAAATGGAGTCGAAAGAACAGCTCGTGCGTGATAAAATCTTGCGCATTCATCACGAGAACAAGGATCTCTCGCATCGTTCCATCGCTAAAACGTTGGGAATCGCGAATTCCACGGTGTCGCGAGTGATTAAGCGGTTCGAGGAACGGTTGACCACCGATCGGAAGCCCAGAAGTGAAGGAAAAAGTATTCCGTACAACACCAAAAATCACAACCGCGTAGTTGGGGCCTTCAACCGAAATCCGAACGCCTCCGTTAGGGATGTGGCTAAGAAGCTGCACCTAAGCCGAAGTTTTGTCCAGAAGGCCAAAACTAAGGCTGGGCTTCGAACGTTCAAGGTACAAAAGGCCCCTAATCGTGACGAGAAGCAGAACAAGTCCGCCAAAACCCGTGCCAGGAAGTTGTACCTCAACATGCTGACGAAAGTTGAATGCTGCATCATGGACGACGAAACATATGTGAAGGCCGACTTCAAACAGATCCCCGGCAACCTGTTTTTCACGGCCAAGGATAAGTTCAGCGTTCCGGAGCATGTCCGCACTCAGAAGATGTCCAAATTTGCGAAGAAATTCCTGGTTTGGTAAGCCATCTGCACGTGCGGGAAGCGGAGTGCACCTTTCGTGACCCAGGACACGATGAACGGACAGGTGTACATAAAAGAGTGCCTCCAGAAGCGGCTGCTTCCTCTCCTGAAGGCCCACAACGTCCCAACAATCTTCTGGCCGGATTTGGCCTCATGCCACTACTCCTACGTGCTGAAGTGGTATGCGGACAATAAGGTCAATTTCGTGCCGAAAATGTTCAACCCTCCCAACACTCCGGAGCTCCGCCCCATCGAGAAGTACTGGGCGATTATGAAGCAGCACCTTCTTAAACGACCTAAGGCAGTGAAGACAGTCGAGGAACTGAAGAAAGTATGGGTTTACATGCGAAAAACGGTTGATTCACAGGTTGTGTAGAATCTTATGGCCGGGGTTAAGGCCAAGGTGCGGGCATTTGCGTATGGACTGTAAATAAAATACGAGTAAAATGGTAAAATGAAGTTTAATAGTTATTTCTCAATCCCTGAAAATTTGATGGCAATCGGATGAAAACTCGAATTTTGCGAATCAATTTTGTGTGTGGCAATTTCATCGTGGACACCCTTTAAACTAATTCTATGCTAATTGATACTGTATTTTGCAACTAAATATATATCTATACAAAATTTTGATTCACGGTTAGAAGAATAATCGCGGCAGTAGGTTCTATAAAATACAGACCCCTGCATGCACCCCCCCATTTTCCTTTTTTATTTTTTATCTTTTTGGGATTTTTGCATTGGGCAAAATCTGATTCAATTGATTTTATTATTATTTTTATTATTTAACTTTAATAGCATAACACTTTTCATTCATTCTCAAATTTGATTCAAAGCAGCGTAGAACTCTCAATAATGAATTAATATATAATTAAATAACTTATTACAAATTTCAAAATATTTCCAGCTTGCACATTCCATATAATTTTGTAGCATCGTAAGCAATTCAATCCAAAAAAAAAACTTCCAACTACCTACCTCAATCTAATCATCATCCCTTCCCATGGCGATCATGTAGCCTGCATGTGGCGAGTCAGTCATTACCCCTTCTTTACTATCGACCTTGGATTGACTTGCGCTCTTACTGCCCCACCCTGCGCTGCAAAATGAAAATGAAATGAATTCGCGGTTTCGCGAGAAATCAACTGCAACGGCACGGAATCCGGTCACACTTTTCGCGCGAATTTAAGTATTCCTCGCTTTCGTTGCTATTAACGAAAGAGAGAGTCGTTGAAGAGAATCGATCAATGTAGATTGGTCTATTTCAAAGGTGACGCGAGAATTGTATGATCATGTGGGTGGAAGGAGATTCTCTATCATCCCGTGGAGGCGTATAGGTGAATAGATTATAGATCCACCAAAACCGACATGTTGAGGAAAATCAGAAGTTATTAAGCTTGATCAAATCAAACAGTGAGGAGCTAGGGGCATCCCACTCTAAACTTTGTATTTTTTCCAAATATACATTTAAAGATCTTAGATACCTAATCTAATATCTAATGTCGTTTTCGTTTTTGTTCAGTTCCAACCCAGTTTTGCACCAGTTTCAACCTAACTGCTGTCAAAACGTTTTTTTATTCGCACGGGTTGAACCTAGTTCCACACTAGTTTCAACTCCAAAGTTGATAGGTTCGCACTGTAATTTTTCACGGTTTACTGGTTGGATTCACCAATACAACTGCATCTGAGCTGTCAAACTGTGCGTTGTTGGATTGTGAAAAAAAAAATTCGAAATAGATATGCAAAACGTTGCGTCTGTGGTTGCTTTCGCTGCCTCTGCAGTTCAATTACTGGAATCGGAATCGGAATCCGATTCTGATTCCGATTTCGATGAACATATTTTAATGACGATTCTCAGAAAACCGAAGTACAAAAAATGCCGGGTCAATAATTTCGTCAGAGACGTAGTTGAGCATTTTTCGGAGGAAGAGGTAATAAAAAAGATTATATGCAGCCGGTAAACGGAAGTCAGCTCCAAGCGGCATTTTTATCAGTTTTGAGTTTGCATCATGAACAAGCAAAACATATTTATTTCTAGTTCCGACGTCACTTTCGGCTCAACAAAACCACAGCCAATACGATAGTTACGAGATACGCAGAATCCGAATTCTTTCGTTCAAACTCCGGTACTGGACGCAGGAATGTTCCAGCAAACGAGCAAATGTATGCTTTTTTGTGGTAAGGATTTTGGTTTAGCATTTATATGGTCATAATACTGAAAGATTTTCAATATTTTTTTACTTAACTTCATTGAGAGAGGAGGTGTTGTGAGTGTAGATGGCAATTTATCGTAGTTTTAAATCTTAAAATCCTCTGATTTTCCAATCCTGAATATTTTTATTTTCTCTGAAAACCCCTCTGCACATTTTTTTTTATTTTCTCAAGAATTTTCCTAGGGGAACGCAATATCCTTTAACTCCAACGCAGGCAACGGCTGTAATTAAATTAATTCCATTAACTACTGCTTTCATTACATTAATTACACAATGTAGAACCACAGACAAACAGATATAACACTCGCAAGTTGTTCATCGAACAAGCATTTAACGGCCAATTCAAAAGTATCGTAGTTGGTAGCACCACCACCTGTGGCGCGCATAGTCAATTCCCTTGCGTTTGACTTTACACACTACCGCCATTTGTTCAGCGTACTACCCACCACAGTGTATTCAACAGATGGCGGTAATGTTTTAGCGACGATGTTTTACAGTGAGAAATATTCAATGTGTGATGTCTTTTTGTCTGTGGTAGAACATTAACTACTTTTTAACTCCATTATTTACGATTTAAATTTCGTAATTAAAGTACATTAATTACAGTTTCAATACTTTTAATTACATTAATTACGGATAGATAATTTTAATAACCGTCAGTACTACTTCAAAACGCATTTATTACTTTAAGTACTTTTGATTGCATTTTAACTTCAAAGCACCGGTTCTTTGTATTACGTGCCCCTCGGAATTTTCTTAGAAACAAGTTTTAAAGTTATCTCGTTCAAATTATTCATAAAGATGACGGGAATCATGCTCAATACCATAAGGAAGAAAACCAGAATCCAGGGTGGAAAAGTGATGAATTGGTTTTACGAATTGTTTAAGGAATCTTAAGTTTGCAAGAAATTAAGATCCAAAGAATAGTTTTTTTTAAGGTTACGAACTCATGTTTTGCTCGATATTTGAATTTTATTTTCACCAGTGAATTTTTTTTAAAAATCGGCGGCTGATAAACTTTTAAATTTTTCCTACTTTAGTAAATGCTGAGTATTTAGAACATATTTTTTTTTTAACCAAGGGATCATAACCTTGCAATAAAAGTCCTTTTAATGTTATACATAAAATCAAGACGAAACGATTTGCATTTAGAAAATGTTACAAAATTGTGAGACTCCGACAATTGAGCAAAGCAAAATTATAAAACATCTTTGAAAACTTAGTCTTGGTAGAGATCAACTATTTTATTCGATAATAGGTTTTTAAATAATTATCATTATAATTAACTTGAATATTTGATAGAAACATTTTATTTTAGATTTTGCTTCAAGTGTGGATTAGGAATGAGATAAAAAAATGGGCACTTTTGATTGTTTTACGACTATCCTGGAATATTTTCTACCCAATTGCGATGATTCAAAAACTATATATTTGCAAGTAAAATTTCTGAAACACTAGAAACAATTTGGATTCTAATTGGATTTCCCTTCAAATTTTCAACAACTGCTGAAATTTTTAAAAATTGAGTTTACAGTATTGTTGGTATTTTCATGAAACCTTGCACTGTTTATTCTATTTATAAAATACTCTTGTTATATTCATTGCAATTCCTCGGGTAATTTCTTCAGATTTACCTATAAGCATTTTTCAGAAACCTTTTGAAATTCACCCCCGATCTGCTATTGAAGTTTGCTATTAATTTTCTTGAAACCATCCTCAGTACACTCCTGAAAATTTCCTCAGAACTTTGTTAAAATTCTTCTTAGAATGTTGCAAGGGTTCACCTTGAAATTCCCTAAGATTTATTAAGAACCGATTAAAATTATCTCTCGCGCTAAACATTTCTTTCGTAGTTTAATGGCTTGTTGTGGACGACTACGTAACTAATTTGCAATCTGCTTGATGTTTCTTCAAGAGAAAAGATAGGCTAAAAGATAGAATAACACATGTGAACTTACGACCCTCCTCCTTTTTGTGGGGGGGGGGCGGATATAAATGTTCAAATTTGGCAAATGTAGTGCAGTATGATCATAGAGGTAACTCTAAGACCAGAAGGTCCCGAAGAAACGTGCTCAACTTTTTGGCTCAGCTCTGGTACTCTCTTCGGTCCCAAGTTTATCGATTCACCCCTCGAAACATACGAAAAACCAATAACCCCTCATTTTATCTGTCAAACTTTCATAGCAAATCAAAACAAACATTGCGTAGTACTAGAATTTCGACTAGAATGGGACACGTTAATCGTTTGCTTGGGACCAATAGGCTAGTCAAGTAGTAAGCCAATTTAAAATCGTTAGTTTCGTATTGATTATTGGTATGATGCTCATAAATGATTAGGTTTTGACAAAGTCTTACAAAATTAAATGATTTTTGGCACAAATTTCGATAATATACCTGCGTTAGTAAGAATCATTACCAATTTGCATGTATGCCACACTCATATCCGGCCATATCTTTTAGCCAATCACTTCTCCTTGATGAAACATCAAGTAGATTGCAACGTAGTTGTCTAAAACGAACCATTATTCTAAATAAAAATTCGTCTCGGTAGGTTAAGGGGTGATTCAACTTTGTAACTATACTGTACTAAATCCTGATAAATGTGAGCGTCTTAGTGGAATACCTGTATAATGAGAGAGAGAAGGATTAGTATTTTCCATTTAATTCCACTACTTTATTTGCTTATCCTTGGCAGATACGCGTATTTCGTCTACAATGTGCAGACTTCTTCAGTGTCTTGTACTAATACTCGACTAGTTGAGTCGAGTATTAGTACAAGACACTGAAGAAGTCTGCACATTGTAGACGAAATACGCGTATCTGTCAAGAATAGGCAAATAAAGTATTGGAATTAAATGGAAAATACTAATCCTTCTCTCTCTCATTATATACTGTACCAAACAAAATACACCAACGAATTCTGCTAGATTGTACTGATTTTAAACGATTTTTTTTAGGTTTTGTGCAAACAAAGATTCGTATCGTGAAATCGGCACCCTGTTCAACATGTCGGAATCATCGTTTTTTAAATGTTTGAACCGTATTTTGGACTTCCTTTACGATGTGTCCAAAACCATTATTCGGTTTCCAGATTCAACAGCAGAGAAGGAAAGGATCGCAACCGATTTCAGAAGTGTTAGTTAAAAATGAGATAATTCTGATGTGATCAGCGAATATTTCAAATTTTTACAGATTTCTGGTTTTCCAAACGTGATTGGCTGTATCGACGGGTGTTACATCTACATCAGAAAACCAGCAAACAAAATACGATCTACGTATGTTAATCGTCATGACTTGTTGTCAATAACACTTCAAGGGATTTGTGACGCGAAGAGAAGATTCATTGATGTCTGTGTGGGGTCTCCTAGCCGCATACACGACTCAAGAATTTTCTCTCTGTCACCTGTTAGTGACGAGCTACCTGGCATATGCCATGGAAAGTACCATCTGCTCGGTGATGCGGCGTATCCCTTGCGGGAGTATTTGCTTACTCCGTTCAAAGATTATGGTAATCTATCACAAAAGGATACAAACTACAATCTTAAACACAGCCAAACACGTGTTAAGATTGAGAACTGCTTTGGAATTTTGAAACAAAGGTTCCGTCAGCTAACTCGGCTCGATTTCTTTCGTGTCGAAAGAATGTGCAAGTTTGTTTTGGCTTGTTGTACACTCCATAACATGTGTATTGATCAAAATGACACATTCAACGAAGAAGCAGCTGATCCCATTGAGCCCGATGAAACCCGAAGCAGTCAGATTCCACCTACCGGGCCAAGTGGTTCCCAAAGCACAAGGAATGCCGCTTTGCGCAGACTTGGAGAAGTTAAGAGAAGTGAAATTGCTGAAACATTAATGCAATAGAAATTCAATAAAACGACTTTTAATCAAACTCCATCATGTATTTCTAGTTTTTAAGCACCACTCTGTGGGATACCGGGTCCATATTCCGGTCCCAAGTCTAATTTTGTTCTAAAAGCACAGATACAAACATTTCATTTGAATACGGTATGACCACAGAAAAACAGACATAACACATTGAATATTTCTCACTGTAAAACAAAGTCACTAAAACATTACCGCCATCTATTGAGTACACAGTGGTGGGCACTACGTTGAACAGATGGCGGTAGTGTGTAAACGTCAAACGCAAGGGAATTGACTATGCGCGCCACAGGTGGCGGTACTACCAACTACGATACTTTTAAATTGTTCGTTAAATGCTTGTTCGATGAACAACTTACGAGTGTTATGTCTGTTTGTCTGTGGTATGACCATAGAGGTAACTCTAAGACCAGAAGGTTCCGAAGAAACCAGCTCAACTTCCCAAGCAACACAGAAAACATCTCAATTCTTTTATTTTTCTTTTTAAGTTGCCTAGAAATCCCTTAAATGGTACAGGACATACATCTTGATACGACAAAGTTTCAACTTTGTTGCTTCATTTACTTTAGGTCACAATAATGAAACTCAACTGTTTCAATGTACTGCTTGGATGACCTGTCAAATCATGTCTCAAATGGGAGGAGCAAACATGTTACACTCAAATTGGTATGAAGTTATATGCTACGTGATATTGTATGAAACACTTGAGCAACAAATCTAACTTGTGTTGTGTTTGTTGAATGAGAGTTCCATAAAACATTATGTTTCTTACAACATTTGGTGCAACAGAGTGTGAACTATATGTTTTTTGTACCTATTGAGCAACTGTATTGAAATGTTTCTAAAAAGTTGACGAACCAAGATGTGTTGAAGAACCTATTTGCAATCTTGTTCCAATTAAGCGTATGAATCTATAAGTTTTCAAACTTCGTTTTGCAACCAACTGAATCAAGTTGTCACTGTAAAGGTTTGTTGTAACCATCTAGTATCTACCATGGCTCAAATATGTCTTGTCACTTTGATGTTGTAAAATATTTTTGGACAACATTAGCAAAAGTGGAGAAATCGTAATGCATGTGCTAACATCTGCATAGGAAATGGAAGACCACGACGAGGACGATAGGATTACGGATGGCGGGGGACGATAGTGACTAAACACGATGCCAACAGCGACTGGCGTGGCCGTAGTCTCTCAACCAGCCGGGTGTTCCAAAGGGCTAAATAGAACGGTGAGAAGCCTGAGGTGACGATGAATTGGTTGTTGCATGAGCTGGGGGCAGCAAATATATTGATACCGCCGAACGGAGATGCTGGCGAACTGGAAATGGCATCAAAAAGCGGGTGGATTGCCAGAACTAGTGGCTTATAATGCCGAAACCTGATGACTGCTGGCGGAGGAGCTGCACCGATGTCGCTACCACTCGATGTCACATTGCTACTGACAAGTGACGTTTAAAGCACGCACATACTCAACAAATTCTATGATTGTTCAAACTACGCATTTGCTATTTATTTTCAACATAACTGGAACATGGATACCATCGATAATACGTAATGGTGCAGTTATGTTGACAAATCGTTGCGGTGTTGTTGCAGTTCAATATGAATCATAATTTTAATATCCACTCATCTGCAACGTAAAAAATACTTGTTGTAAACTTTTCATGAAGTCTTGAAAAATAGCTACATTATTGTAACGTACTATTGAACATGTTTGCAACAGTTCAGTGAGCTGGATTGTATCTGGATGAACCGTACACTACCGGCCGAAATTATGTAGCTATAATGGAGAATGTTCACAAATATTGCAAAGCGGGATGGTCGTACTGAACATGTTGACCCGCAATGTACACAATTAGAATGCTGTTGGTAAGACTGGCAGCCATATGTAATCCACCAGAAATAATCATAATAAACTTATTTTTCAATTTATTCATGTTTCCCACCCTATTAACATAAAAACATTAAATTCTTATTACAGCTGTAATGTTTTCCAATAGTTAAAATATAAATATTTTATTTTACAGATCAATTTTTTATCACGCCATATTTTTGAGCTGCAAATTTGTTGCATAAATTTATAAATTTTTGAAGGCGTATATATTTAATCGAAGCAAAATGTGTAATTTCACCATAAAACTAGATGCGTTTGAAAAAACGGACTAGTTATCAATATTTTAAAGTAATTAATATCATACTTTTATTCAATGACTCTTTCTACGATTGTCATCTCTTATTTTGCGCAGTCTAAATAAAAACATCAGTATGCTTTTTCCACCTCACCTCACAAAAATATCCAATACTCGTGGTTAACTTGAATGTCATTTACATGTATTCGAAAACATCACAGTACAGTTTTAAATATTTCAGTAAAACATTGCAGTTAAGTCAGTTGAAACCTCATTTACAACTCGTGTCATTCAAATATCATGTTACATGCACCTTATTTGCAACACATTATGCCACAAACACAAGTTGCAAAGAGACTCCACCTTCTGCGCTTTTTAAGGTACAATGAAGTTTTATATGCGGTGCGTCGTCCATAATTTAGACTGTCTATTACTCACACTAAGGTTGTTGTTACTCGCTGTGAAACAAATGGTGTTGCTTGGGTTTTTGGCTCAGCTCTGGTACTATCTTCGGTCCCAAGCTAATCGATGCACCCCTCGAAACATAGGAAAATCCACGAACCCCTCATTTTATCTGTCAAATTTTCATAGCGAATCAAAACGAACATAGTGTAGTACTGGAATTTATACTAGAATGGAGTACGTTAATCGATTTGCTTGGGACCAATAGGCTAGAGGAAATCAAGGTCAGGGTGCCAAGCTTCTTCTTTCATTTGCGGCAAAGATACCAAAAATCGGTTCGAGAATGTATTTAATTGTGATATTGTATATGTTATTTTATTTGACATGAACATTTCAAAGCTGTACGTAAATCTTCGTGTAGAACCAAACTCCAACTAAAACTGAATTAATTAATTTTCTTTAGAAGTTCTTCCAATACATTATTTAGCCGATCCAGTTTCTCCATCTTTTCGCTGTGTTGCTTTGCTTTTTCCTTTCCTCTTTCTTCTTTCCGTTCGCATTCTGCTTTGTACGCCTCCAACAGCTGAAATGAAGCATCCGCGTTGCTAGTCCTTTTGCTGGGCGTCGTGGATGTAGTGGAATCTGTGACATCTGGGACAGAGCTATCGGTAGTAGACAGTTCCGTTTCTGCCAATCGTTTGCGTCTGATGACAGTGGGTGTCATGATGATCTCCGGCTCTATTGAATCATCGACTGATGCTATTTGACCCATCTCCTTATCATAAGGTGTAGCAATGATCGATGCACCGGATGTGCGGTTATTTTTCAATACATCCTTGTTCTTCTTGGATACGTTCTTGTACCGGTTTTCTACTTGTAACGCAGAAAAATTAACGCCTTGTTGTTTATAAATTTCTTGGGAAATATTTTCCCACAATTGTTTTTTGTTTTTAAATTTTTTTAGCGGTCCAACATTATCCAAGTTAATCAAATACAGATTCAACAGGAGACGCGTCTGCTCCTCAGTCCACGTCATCACTGTTTTTGTGGTACACGATGGACCTGGGCTGCTGATTTCAGCATTCCTCTCGTATTGTGGTGCTTCCGTTCTCAAACCGTAGAACTCAGCAACTTCAGTGATTTTCACTTGCACCACTGCATAATCTGAAGACAAAATTAAAAATATATCCCATGAGACATGAATAATAGCAAGAAATAAATTAGCAAAATTAAGTTAGCAAAATTAAAAATAGGTATATCCCATGAGACATGAATAATAGCAAGAAATAAATTCATTATTTCAATTTTTGATTAGAAGCTCCAGGGGATATTCAAAATAACTACACTGATAAAATTTCAAAGATTGTGTTTATGTGTCCCACACATGCATTTTTAAAATGTGATCAACAAATGATATCTATGTGTCGGACACATACTTAATATGTGTTAACATAAAAGCCATGTGTAACCACACATACTAATCATTTGACTCATAAATTTAATGTGTGCTTCTGAGTGGATTCTGTTTATGTGCGGAATGAAAATCATGTGGAATTTTACATGGAAATTCGTCAATAAAAATGTGTGGAATTGTATTAGTGTAGGATAGACTAATTTCTGGAAAAATTTGGATTGTTGTAACTTCGTCAAATATGGTCCGATTTTAATTCTTTTAAAAGCATTCGACTGCAAAACTAATATATTTTTATATTGTTACCACGAAAATAACCATGGTCAGCGGATACAAGTATTATTAAGCTTGATTTAAAAATCGAGATGAAAGTGTGTGGGTTCGAAAAACATATCGCTATGCTCACAAAACGAAGCTTTTTCAGATGACATATAAAAACCAATATATTTTTATAAAATTTAAGAACCCAATTGCGTTTTTACACCAAAACTTGCCGTGCGATAGCTATTTCTTCATATTTTTCTTATTAATAGGCTCTCTATAGAAAGCATATTCATGAAAAAACATAAAGAAAGAGCTTTTGCAAGGCATGTTTTGGTGTAAAAATTCATTTTTTCTCCTATAGGCCCATCTACATTTAAGATTCGTCAATGATTAAAAAGGAGCTCGTCTGCCTAGTGGCAGATGTTTTTGCTTACTGAGCAGAGGACCGTGGGTTCAATCCCCAGCTCCTTCGCGTTATACGATCGTTAGGACATCAATTCAGCTTATCGTTTACCAAAACGAACCCTGCTGCAAACCCAACCGTATTACCCAATATCCCAGTGATTCCTCGTGGAAGTGCAGAGGTGTTCTCGGCTTCCATCAAAGCCAGTGTCACGTCAACACATTCCTATCCCTTCCTTTCTTGACCTCTTGACATTGAGGATGATTGCTAGTCCCAAGCATCGTCTATTGGTTCTCTGTGTAATTACAGCTGGTCTGGCAATAACAGAGTAGCAACCGTGGGCGGTCAATCATGCTCATGCTCATGCTCA